CTTTTAAAGTATTAGGGCGGAAATAGTAAAAATTATGAAGCCCCTGTTTTTTTCTTAATTCGAAGAAAATGTTATTGTTTTTTTGTTTTATAAAACACAAAATTTATTATGGTTTTTAATAACACAAAAACTTTTAATAACACTTTGTAAAAATAGAAATTCTAATTATACATTTAATTTAATTAATATTTTCAAGTTCCATAAAAATTTTTTTTAGCTTTTCTAAAAAGTGAGTAAAAGGTTTCTAATCCACTAAACAAAACAAACATAGCAGTGATGTTTCCTTTTCTCTGCTTTATAATTTGTTTTTTTCTAATTTTATTTTGGAATTCATGGTTTTTTATTTTAGTAAATTTAATTATAAAAAACTATTCAAAATAAAATCAATTAAAATTAAGTTTTTTCATCATTTCTGGAATCCATATGATTAAGAATTCATCGTGATTGAACAGCTTATATTTAATATTGTTGTTGCAGTATTTTTCGATTGATTACATTACTCTGTATCCACATTCAAAACCATTTGTTTGAATTGAAACTTGAATTTATTTTAACATCATTTATTTTTTTAGATATTCTCATTCCTCCCTTTTTTAGATTTTGTTTTTTCTCAAAAATCGTTTTGATTGGCCAAATATTTTTTTTCTAAAAATACTTAAATTATGATTTGAATTTTGCTCGGTTAATGGTCCTAATCATTAGGGTATTTTACTAAAATCAGTGACTCGCTTTAAAGATCGCCCACTTATTTTAGGCACTGTGAATATTTTTTTATATGAGCAAAACAAGTTTTTTATACCTATCAAACGAAAACATCAAAACAATTATTTTTAATGTTTTCCAAATACAATTTCAACCAAATCCATTGGTATATACACTTTTTATTCTAAAGTTTTTATTATTAAAAATCACAACATTATACGTAAAAGAACTTTCAAAAGCGGGAGGGTATGGTATTTTTGTTCTCTCAAGAGCAGTCAGCTATTTAATCAAACAATAAAATAGTTTCATAGAGAACTCGATTTTTGGTTTTGGTCTAAAAATTCCCTCTCGTGAGAGAACCAGCTCTTCAGATATCTTATAAAATGTATAATTTTTCTTTTCATTTTTTGAACAAGTTAAAGTATATACATTGGAATAATGTATAGACACTACAATGAGCAATAAAAATTTTATTTTTTATCTTAATATGGTACAATCGTTTAAATTATCTTGAGAGCTCTACCAAGTCGTCAATAAATTTGTTTTTTCCTCTTTATTGTTATTAACGATAGAAATACGTTTTGGTTTTAATACAAAGTTTGTTGATTCATCCTTTGAAAAAATAATCGATTTTATTTGTGAATATTTGGTTACTATAATACTTGATCTTATTCTTTTTACTCCTTCTTCCTCAATTAATGCGTTGATACATTCAATGGCTTCTTTTATTTTGCAAAACATGGTTAACAAATTTATAATAGCACACTCTGAGAGTTTGGTCATCTTTTATAACATTTTCAATTGACTCCAATGAAAAATGTAAATCTCTAAAACATTTTGAGCATTTATCTATGTCTTTTATTTCAATAGTTTCTTTAATGTGCACGCAACTCGTTCTTTTAAAACATTCTTTTTTAAACAACATAACAATCAGAAGGAGTTGATTTCTTTCAACGTAAAATGAGATAACATAGATACACGAGAAATTGTTGGTTCTAAAAGCCGAACATGAACACGATGCCATCGTTGTATCATCCAAGTGTGTATCATTACCTCCTAAAACCAATTTAAACAATTTCATTGTATTTATTAACACTTTTTTTTGGAAGTAGGTATAACATATTATGATCGATGGCACCTTTACACATTTCATAATTGAAACCGTTTTCTTAATTAATTTTTGTTACATAAGATTCAATAAGTCGTGCAAATTCCAATAAAGAAACTTTTAACCTCCAAATTTCAACTTTAATAGTCCAAAATAACATTCCATGCAATTGAAAGTGGTTTAATCGGATAAAACATGTGTACAAGATGGTAACCAACTAGTCGCCAATTCTATTATACCTCTGACAAGTCTAATCTTTGTAATGCTATTATCGTTTGTGGTGTGTTTTCGAGTACGTCTTTCATTTCATTTATAATCTCTTTGACAATCATTTTATCGTCTATAAACCGTTTCTTGTCATATCCATATTCATCCTTAATAAAACCAGTCGACTTTCCAAGTTCCTCCAAAAAGTCACTTTCACTTACATAACCGCTAATCATCATGTGCCATTTTCTGACAATTATTGATTTCTCTCCAAACGCAACTAATAAATATTTCATTATACCATTGAACACTTCTTTCTACTCATTTGAAAGTCTTTTTTCGTCGCTTGTGATTGTGATCTCATTTTTTTCTCGTATATTGTCTCCAGCTGACACATTCATAATGCCGCTTGAATTGATATAAAATGTGACTTCAATTGTAGGACTTCATTGAATGGTGCTGGTGAAATGCCATTCACCTCAAACGTACCAAGCAGGTTGCATTGTGATGGTATGGATGCCTCGCCCTCAAAGACTTTGATGAACACGCCTGGCTGGTTGTCGGCATGTGTCAAAAAGATCTGCGACTTCTTTGCTAGAATTATCGAATTTAGTGAAATCAGTGTTGCCATCACACCCGCAGTTGTTTTAATGCCAAGTGTCATTGGCACAACATCAAGCAAGATGTCTTTTGTTGCCTTTCCACCGTTTTCTGTCATCTGATGATGTACAGGATAGCAAATTGTAAATCATCACCATAAGCAACTGCCTCGTCTAGATTCATGCCCTTGTTGATATCCTTCCCATTGAAGAAGTCTTGTAGTATCTGCACAACCTTTAAAATAAGAGATGATCCACCAATCAACACAACGTTGTCAATGCTCCCTTTATCCAGTTGGGCATTTTCAAGCATTTTTTGACCAGTGCTATTGTCGACTTGAAGAGGTCGTTTTTCATCTCTTCAGAGCGTGCTCTTGTGTGTGTTGTGTAAAAGTTGATTCCTTTGTAAACTGTTTTTCAAACTCTGTACTTTGATGA